CCCTACGGCCCCCGCCACCGCACCGCACCGCACCGCCTGCCGGGGCCGGGGCGGCTCCGCCCGCTGCAGAGGCCGCCGCGCTGCCCCCCCGGCTCTGCCCGCAGCGGGGAGAGAGAGAGAGAGAGAGAGAGAGAGAGTGTGTGTGTGTGTGTGTGTGTAGTGAGGGAAGCAGAGTGTGTGTGTGCTTGCATGTGTGTACATTGGGTGTGTGCGTGTGTATGTGTGTGTACATTGGGTGTGGGTGGGTGTGCGTGCGTAGTGTGTGTGTCTACATTGCATGTGTGTGTCTAGTGAGGGAAGCAGAGTGCGTGTGCATACAGTGTGTGTGCGTGTGCGTGTGTGTGTCTGTACTGAGGGAGGCGGGGGGGGAATGGCCCCGGCCCCGGCCCCGGCCCCTCTCCCTGGTGCTTAAGGCTGGAGGTGACAAGCAATGGGACAGCAAAGTGACAGCCAAGATGCCTGCATGTGTGCTTGTGTGTCTGAGAATGGGCCAGGCCCCCCTGAGTGCACAAGACTGGAGGTGATAAGTGATGGGACAGTAGAGTGACATCCAAGATGCATGTGTGCGTGTGTTCGTGCATATGCACATGTGTGCATGTGTATGTGCACACGTGTGTATAAGTGTGTGTGTGTGTGTCAGTGTGTGTGGCCCTGGGACCCCTCCCCGGGGTGTGCACGCCTGGAGATGATGAGCAATGGGATTGAGAAGCAGCGATGGCCTGTCTGCAGAGGCCAGGGAGCTTTCTCTGCGCAGTGGCCCCTTGGCTCTTTGATCAGCCAAAGGAGGAAGGGCTGAAAAGGGATGCAAAGGACTTGTGTAGCTCAAGGGTGTTCACAGCTACTAAAATCAGGCAGGCCAGGGATGCTTGGTCAGGTCTGGTTGTTGAAGCACTGGTGGTGGGTGTGATGCCAGGTGCAGGTGAGAGCAGGACCCCAACCCCAAGGAGTTCATGACATAAGATGGATAGTACTTGGTGTACCTGAGATGGGTGGCTGCATTTTTAGTGGTACAGGATTGGCTCTGTAGACTACCCAACAAGAGGATGTGATGCCTGAGATCCAAACCCAAAGCTGTTCAATCCATGATTGAGGGTATCTTTTTGCATGAGCATGGTAGTTCATGATTTCATGCATAAAGCTTTGGAGTATAAGTAGCATCTCTAATATTCTCCAAGATCCTCAAAGAGAGGCAAAGATTTATGAGCCGTTTGGTCTATTAAATTGTCTTTTCTCCGTTCCTGTCATTGATTCCCACCATTTCTTTAATACATTGATATTGCAGCCCTTTCCTCCCTTGACAGGAGGGAATTCTGGTTTATCAGGGTTGCAGTAAACTATTGCAGAGCAGAGATGACAGGAAAATAAGGTCTAATTCTCCTGTCTACAGCCCACCTAGAAACAAAACTAAACTTAACGCAGGGGAATATCGTAGGCGGGAGCTGAGAAGAGGGAGGGAAAAATCAAATGGATTGGGGAAGAAAGAGAGTTTGATTTGTGATAATCCATTCTCTCTTTCTTCAGGGGAAAGAGAGATGGTGAGCCTGGGGCCTGAGAGAGACTGAGAAGGAAACACATGTCACCAGTGGCTTTCTGCTCTACATGCTCTTTCCCAGGGACAACAGAAACCTGAGGGGTAAGCAAGGCAACGAACAGGTTTGGTTGGCTACTTGCTTAGAGCTTTCCCTTTAGATGTCAGCTCTGCTGATCTCTGCCCTTTCTTTAGGACTAGATTGCAGTATTATAATCTGCCCGCATTAAAGGAAAGCCTGGGGCAGTGGCAGACTGTGACTTAGAGAGGCATAGTTCATCCCTTGGTTCCTCCTCGTGCCTTGATATGTGGGAAATAATATGGTATTGAAGTGGATTAGTAGAAGGTTTCATCACTCACCTTGTATCAGCACCACTCTGGCCAGCTCACTGAGGTGGAAGATGGGACTTCTTCCTACTCCCATGATCTGTGTGGGATGGAGACTAGAAGGTTGAGGGTACTACTTTCCTTCCACCACTCCTGGTGCATTGATCTGTGATGTGAGTATCACACAGAAGCAGCAAGAGGAAATATTACATCCCTGCCCTGTGCTGGGCAGTTTCTGAGTTAGCACAGCTAGTAGTTTCTGACAAGATATCTTAAGTATAGAGACAGAGGAAGCTGAAGCTGTGTTCTATACTAGTCTGGAGCACACAGTGGGTTGAATTTCTGCTTCTTCCCCATGCTTCAGTTTTCAGGCTGTTGGATTCAAGTAGCTTCAGTTTTCAGGCTGTTAGATCCTTTAACCTATTAAAAAAAACCCCCAAAAACCCAGACCTTCCTCCATGCTTTCGGAGTAATGTCAGGGCTGTTGGTGAACTTGTTCCTATGGATGGCTAGTGAACTAAAGAACATCATGTACATGTGTTTTGTTTCTCAGGATGTTTAAAGGATAAGTGCCAGACACCAAAATGAGTGTCACTTCGTGGTTCCTGGTGAGCAGCACTGGCATTCGCCACCGCCTCCCGCGGGAGATGATATTTGTTGGCAGAGATGAATGTGAACTAATGCTCCAGGTAAATGTGCATTTAATAATATCTCTTCTGATGTTATAAATACCCCTTAAAGGTGCAATGGATATTACAGGTGTAAAGTAAAGGTGAGGTAGATCTGTAGAGGTATTGGTTACTTTGAATTATTTCCCTAGTTAATGAGAACTTGATTTTAAACTCAGCGCACCACACCCACAAAGGTTTAATGCACTGGTGAAAGTGACAGCGAATGTTTGCAAACAGCCTTGTCATTAGATTGGGAATCAGTGTTGTACTGGCTGTAAATCAAATGAAACAGGCTAACAATGCTGACCTTGGCATACGTACTCTACAAAGGGAACACAATCCAGTCCTGGTATGCAGAGTGGTTCAGCTACTTTTTCTCATGCAGCTCTTGCTGCATGTACCGTGCATTGGCATATTTGGATTTTGTATGTTGCTAACTGAAAGTTTAATTATATTGTCAGTGCTTTAAGTCCCTGGTTTGGGTCTTTAACCTGAAAGGAAGCATTTGTGCTCCATGTAACAATCTTACTGTCTAAAATGAATTAAGTGGCTTCCTTTTATCCATCAGAATTACTGTATTACTTGTGCAGAAAGGTGATTTCACTCACCCACCCCAGAGAAATCTACCTTTTTGAGGCTTTGATGGTCTGATGTTTCACGTGAAGTCCATTATGTATCGTTGAAGGCACAACTGGCAGACTAGCTTCCCCTAGTTGCTTTGTGGATGTTCAGAACTGAAACTTTTGGATTAGGCTATTCGAAGCAGAGATTTCCAAGCAGTGGTCCATGGATCACTGGTGGTAGCATTTAGTGGTGGTCAGCAGAGAGCTAACTGTTTGCACAGTTTGGGTTCCATTCCCTGCTTCCATCCGCTAATTTGTGTAGAGACGCATCTTAAATGTTTTCCTAATATGTTTCCAGGTGGGTGATTTTATGGAGTAGTTGAAGGGACTTTGTAAATGGGAGGAGAGTTTAGTGGGTAGAACTTGTAGTTGGGAGGAACCGTATCTTTAAAGAAGATTAAGTCTTAATAGACTAGATTATCTGTGACAAAATATGAGTAGGCGTTTTCAGAAGAAAAACTTTGATGTGCCTCAAGACACTCTGCTGCTGTTCAGGGCATGCAGCAGCTAGAGCGGGATTCCAGGTTTTGAAACTCCAGCATTGTGATGGGTGGATGGCAGATCAGTTGTTTGGGTTTCCCCATGATTAACGCAATCTTGTTTTAGCTTGTGTTTTTACATGTTTGCCTGGAACGTGAGACACAAGAACTGTCAGAAACATCCCGGTGTCTTCTGTAAGGCTGTATTAATCTGGACAAAATCCTTGGTTTTTTCCCCATCCTCTTATTGTGGCCTAAGGAAGAAAATGCATTTGTTGGCCAAGGCTTTCAAAAGGACGTTGACCTTTGAATATGCAGTTTGGGGCCCTTTGAAAAGAACCTGACTTTTATAGGATGATGGGCTAAGCACTTTGTGAAAATCAGATGTCTTAATCTGGGCACCTAATAATGGAGATACCCAGTTTTAGTCATTCTTAAAGATCTAGATGTCTGTGCAGTCAGGTGTTAGGAGAGCCAGTGCTGCCCATGGAAGAGGGGAAAATTGGGAATATTGTCCCACACCTTGGCATTCAGGGAGACTCATACTGGCTGCTTTTTTTGGATTAGGAATGGTTTTAATATAAAGCTTCCAGATGTTTTGAAATTTAAAACCATTCTGGGACTAGCATAATTAAAGCAGCCATGATCCTAAATTTGGGAGCTGTAAAGAGTTGTGTGTGTGGCCCAGCTAACAAAAAGGGTTCCAACCAAAGACTTTGGCCTGGGCCCAAAAAATGCTGTAGGCAGCGCTGAGCAGGATTAATAGATTGAATCATTTGGGCTTTGAACCTCTCCATGCCACATAGATGACTTCCTAGTGAGGAGCTGCTTTGTGAGACAGACGTCAGACATGGCACAGTGGTGCACCCGGAGTACCAGAGCCTGGCAGTGGGGATCCTTTTACATTTGAGTTATGCTTTTTTCTTCACAGATCTCAGTTGGGGGAAACAAAGTAGGATTTGACAGGAATTTAGTAGGTGCTACAGTGGGGTCTGCAAAGAAGATGTAATTGAGACAGGGCAGTGGTTCTGCAGGGACTAAATTGTTCATCCAGAAGCAATGTTCTGCACTGTTTGTTTAGGCTGATGAGCTAATAATGTTCATGAAGCAAATTGCAGTGACCCTGTCTGAGCATGTTAATTCAGTAATGCACCTTTTTCAGATGACACCTCAGTTCTCATTTCAAGCAGCATGGTGGATTGTTTCTTTGCCCCTTTCACCTCCAGAGACATTCCTCAAAGCTGGCTTGCGTTCCAAGCAGTACGAGTTCACCCGGGACAGACGGCACAAGTTCTCATGTCAAGTGGATGCTTGCAAAGTTGTGTGCAAGCAGATAGAAGCCAAGGACCTAAAAATAAACCTTCCTACAATGGCTGCCCATATCACAAAGCCCTTATGCAGACTGGCACTGCAGTTCACCTTAAATGTAGATGCGCTGCATGTTTTCATCGAGGTGCGTTGGCAAAATTCTGCGAGGATGTTGGACCAGAACCAATGCTATTAGCTTTCACCTTCTGTATCATAATGCTTGTTGTAGGGCTAGTTTGATTTGTGAGCATGCTTTTGAGGGAAGAAACTTTAGAATTGGTGTATTCCTAGTAAATGTACAGCACAGAGCAGACTGGCATTGTCAGGGGAATGGGGCAGATGGTTGTCTTAGCAGCTAGACTATAGTAGTGTCACAATCCTGTGTGCTGGGCAGCGAACAAATACATGATGCTATAGCAGTCCCTGTCCAAGAAGCTCACAGTGAGTTGGTCAACTTTGATTTTACTGCTCTAGGAGTTATTTGGGGTAGAGTCTTATTTATACCTTTTAATTGTTACTTTACATCATCCACTTATTGGATCCCTAAGCAGTCAGAAAGTGGGGTGGTTGGTGGGGTTTTGGGGGGGTTTTTGTTTTTAACAAGATAATGTTGGAGTGACATACTCTTAATGGTTCAGGAAAGCTGCATGCAGTTGGTCCAATTAAAAAAAAACACTCCTCAAGAAAGAAATATCCCCCCCCCCTCCTTTTGAATATTTAATAAATTATAAAGGGATGCTGCATGCTTTATTTTGACCCATGTTCATGTATTTCAGGTAGGAACTGTTGTTGGCAATCAAGTAGCTGAAGAAAATTGTAGCCTTCAAGCTTGAGATTGAATGGGTTTGCTAGTGGGGAAACATAATATTTCTGGAAATCTGCAACTACTGAAAGGATTAGAAATATTTAAAATATTTTTTTCAGTGTGGTAAGGAGTTTAGTGCAAGTAATTGTGCGGCTTGCATTGGTTTTGAAAAGGAAGGAAATTAAATCTAACATATTTTGAGGTTTAGCTTGGAGGATTCAGTTCGGCTCTGGGCTCAGTTTTCTCATTGTTACATTGAGAGGAATTCTGTTCTGTGAATAATCACCCTGATTCCTGCGGGATTATCTATTTAGTATCATCAAGCAGTCATGGTATCAGTATCAGGCTTCAATTAGTAAAACAGCCCAATTAAATTTTGTCTTGAAACTTTAAAAGTTTTTTTTTTTTTAAGTGTGTCCCCCTTTTTTCACCTCTGCTCAGAAGAAAACTGTTTTAATAGAAACTTGAGAGAAAATTGAATATTTCCTTCCCCAAAAACTTCTGTGAAAAAATATAATTGGCAGTTTTATCAGATCTTGTCTTCTGCTTAATCTGGTTGGTATTTGGGTGTTTTAAAAAATAATAATTTTCATGAACTGAAAATTCATAATGAAACAAACATTTTCCCAGACAATCTCTTTCTTTTTTTGTCAAACAAGTCAGAACATTTAAACGAAAATAGAAAATATTTCATATAATTGGTTTTTGCCTTGGTACAAAAATGATTTTTTTTTTCAAAAAAATGTTGGTATAAAATATTTGAGCAGCACTCCCTTAAATACTGGTTCTATGGAACAAAGCTCTGTTTGTGTGTGTATGGCTTTTAATCTACCTTGCATAAAACTGCATGTCTGAACACCAATTACAGATGGCACCCGGCAGTTATGCTTGCAGTTAAGATTGCCTAATAATTTTTATTCTAGGTGGGGCTTGTAGTGCTGCCTGTTATTAAGGTTGGGTGGCACATCCCATTATAAGACCCTGTTCTCGCTTGCTTAAAACTCTGCCAAGCTTTAACTGCTTGGACCGGCCTAAGGAAAAATTCAGTTGTTTTGTCCTTGTTAAAAACTTATGGCAACTTTTTTTTTTCTTTGAAAAGTTCCACTGCTTTGGAGTAGAGACTTGAAATTTGGTGCTGGCCTTCAGCTGAGGGTTTTGCCTTTTCATGGTCTCATGAATTTCTGCCCACATGTGGCCAGGTAATAAGCCTTTGAAAAGGTGATGTTCTCACATGATCAGTAGAGACAATGGACCGTATGTCTGCTGAGCAAGTCTGAGTCTCAGCCCCTGGTGCTGACCAGACTGCCGTCTCCAAGGGGTGCTGGAGATTTCTGTGACGCTGGGTTTTATGGACAGAGCCGGGCTTTCCCTATAATGGCTGTTCCCAACTTCAGGGTTTGGCCAGGCATTGGCGCTGAGAGCAGGGCTCTGGCATTCTGGTAACACAGACAAGGAAGCTTTTCTCTTTGTACTTGATTTGGACAAGAGCCAGAGGAGGGAGGTGTAATAGTAGGCGACTGGGACTGCAGAGGGGAGGCTAGAACTGGAAATCAGAGGAGATGTTGAAAGCCAGTTGGCTGGTGAGAATATAGAAATGGATTTGCAGTTGGGGGAGTGGATGAGCGCAACTAGGAACCACGAGAAGCTGGGCTGAGACTGGGTAAAGGAACTGAGAAAGAAAAAGATGGGAGCAGGTGATCAACAAAATTTTGAGGGGGCGATTGAGGGCCTACAGGAGGAGACTAGGACTGGGAGTTGGCAGTAGTGTAGCTAAGGAGGGGCAACCAGGGCAGCAGCCCCAGG